CAATGCTCAGGGGTCCCTCAGACACTCCTGGGGTCCCTCAGACACTCCAGGGGTACCTCAGACACCCCCTGGGGTCCCTCAGACACTCCAGAGGTCACTCAGACATTCCAGGGGTCCCTGAGATACTCCTGAGATACCCCTGGGGTCCCTCAGACACCCCTGGGGTCCCTCAGACACTCCAGGGGTCCCTCAGACACTCCAGGGGTCACTCAATGCCCAGGGGTCCCTCAGACACTCCCTGGGTCCCTCAGACACTCCCGGGGTCCCTCAGACACTCCCGGGGTCCATCAGACACTCCCGGGGTCCCTCAGACTCTCCAGGGATTTATCAGACACTCCTGAGGTCCCTCAGACACTCCGGGGGTCATTCAGACACTCCTGGGGTCACTCAGACACTCCTGGGGTCCCTCAGACATTCCCGGGGTCCCTCAGAAACTCCAGGGGTCACTCAGTGTCCGGGGGTCCCTCAGACACTCCTGAGATCCCTCAGACACTCCCAGGGGTCCCTCAGACACTCCCGGGGTCCCTCAGACACTCCCGGGGTCCCTCAGACACTCCAGGGGTCCCTCAGACACTCCCAGGGGTTCCTCAGATATTCCCAGGGTCACTCAGACACTCCAGGGTTCACTCAATGCTCAGGGGTCCCTCAGATATCTGCAGGGGTCCTTCAGAGACTCCAGAGGGTCCCTCAGACACTCCCGAGGTCCCTCAGACACTCCCGGGGTCCCCTCAGATATCCCCCAGGTCCCTCGGACACTCCAGGGGTCCCTCAGACACTCCGGGGGTCCCTCAGGCATTCCAGGGGTCCCTCAGACACCCCCGGGGTCACTCAGGCACTCCTCGGGTCCCTCAGACACTCCAGGGGTCCCTCAGACTCTCCGGGGGTCCCTCAGACATTCCCGGGGTCCCTCAGACTCTCCGGGGGTCCCTCAGACATTCCCGGGGTCCCTCAAACACTCCAGGGGTCCCTCAGACATTCCAGGGGTCCCTCAGACACTCCAGGGGTCCCTCAGACTCTCCTGGTGTCCATCAGACACTCCCGGGGTCACTCAATGCCCAGGGGTCCCTCAGACACCCCCCAGGTCCCTCAGATACTCCCGGGGTCCCTCAGACACTCCAGGGGTCCCTCAGACACTCCTGGGGTCACTCAGACACTCCAGGGGTCCCTCAGACACTCCAGGGGTCCCTCAGACACTCCTGGGGTCACTCAGACACTCCAGGGGTCCCTCAGACACTCCAGGGGTCCCTCAGACACTCCAGGGGTCACTCAGACACTCCAGGGGTCCCTCAGACACTCCAGGGGTCCCTCAGACACTCCTGGGGTCACTTAATGCCCAGGGGTCCCTCAGACACTCCAGGGGTCCCTCAGACACTCCAGGGGTCCCTCAGACACTCCCGGGGGTCCCTCAGACTCTCCAGGGGTCCCTCAGACTCTCCAGGGGTCACTCAGGCACTTCAGGGGTCCCTCAGACTCTCCTGGGGTCCCTCAGACTCTCCAGGGGTCCCTCAGACACTCCCGGGGGTCCCTCAGACTCTCCTGAAGTCCCTCAGACACCCCTGGGGTCACTCAGACACTCTGGGGGTCACTCAGACTCTCCTGGGGTCCCTCAGACACTCCCGGGGGTCCCTCAGACTCTCCAGGGGTCCCTCAGACTCTCCAGGGGTCACTCAGGCACTTCAGGGGTCCCTCAGACACTCCAGGGGTCCCTCAGACACTCCCCGGGTCCCTCAGACACTCCCGGGGTCACTCAATGCCCAGGGGTCCCTCAGACACTTCAGGGGTCACTCAGACACCCCCGGGGTCCCTCAGACACCCCCGGGGTCCCTCAGACACCCCCGGGGTCCCTCAGACACTCCCGGGGTCCCTCAGACACTCCAGGGGTCACTCAATGCCCAGGGTCCCTCAGACACTCCCGGGGTCCCTCAGACACTCCCGGGGTCCCTCAGACACTCCAGGGGTCACTCAATGCCCAGGGGTCCCTCAGACACTCCCGGGGTCACTCAGACACTCCCGGGGTCCCTCAGACACTCCTGGGGTCACCATGCCCAGGGGTCCCTCAGACACTCCCGGGGTCACTCAGACACTCCCGGGGTCCCTCAGACACTCCTGGGGTCACTCAATGCCCAGGGGTCCCTCAGACTCTCCAGGGGTCCCTCAGACACCTCCCGACGTCCCTCAGACTCTCCAGGGGTCCCTCAGATACTCCGGGGGTCCCTCAGACACTCTGGGGGTCCCTCAGACTCTCCAGGGGTCCCTCAGATACTCCGGGGGTCCCTCAGACACTCTGGGGGTCCCTCAGACTCTCCAGGGGTCCCTCAGACACTCCAGGGGTCCCTCAGACACTCCCGGGGTCCCTCAGACTCTCCAGGGGTCCCTCAGACACTCCAGGGGTCCCTCAGACACTCCCGGGGTCCCTCAGACTCTCCCAGGGTCCCTCAAACAATCCAGGGGTCCCTCACCCCTCCCAGGGTCCCTCATCACCCTCGGGGGTCCCTCAGCCCCCCCATGGGATCAAATCCCCCCTCAGAGGGCTCAAATCTCCCCCACTGGGGGTCCCTCAATCCCCCCCACAGGGGTTCAGTGCCCCCCCTTTCCCCCCCTCCAAGTTCTCTCTCCCCACATTTGGGGGGTCCTCGTGTCCCTGGGGGGGGCTCATCAAGTCCCTAAGAGGATTCCTTGGATCCCTGGGGAGATTCCCTGGATCCCACCCCAAACCTTCTTTAGGACAATCCCATCCCACCCCAAACCTTCTTTAGGACAATCCCATCCCACCCCCAAACCTTCTTTAGGACAATCCCATCCCATCCCACCCCAAACCTTCTTTAGGACAATCCCATCCCACCCCAAACCTTCTTTAGGACAATCCCATCCCACCCCCAAACCTTCTTTAGGACAATCCCATCCCACCCCAAACCTTCTTTAGGACAATCCCATCCCACCCCAAACCTTCTTTAGGACAATCCCCTCCCCATCCCACCCCAAACCTTCTTTAGGACAATCCCATCCCATCCCAAACCTTCTTTAGGACAATCCCATCCCACCCCAAACCTTCTTTAGGACAATCCCATCCCCATCCCACCCCAAACCTTTTTTAGGACAATCCCATCCCATCCTGAACCTTCTTTAGGACAATCCCATCCCACCCCAAACCTTCTTTAGGACAATCCCTTTCCCACCCCAAACCTTCTTTAGGACAATCCCATCCCACCCCAAACCTTCTTTAGGACAATCCCATCCCACCCCAAACCTTCTTTAGGACAATCCCCTTCCCATCCCACCCCAAACCTTCTTTAGGACAATCCTCTTCCCATCCCAAACCTTCTTTAGGACAATCCCATCCCACCCCAAACCTTCTTTAGGACAATCCCCTTCCCATCCCAAACCTTCTTTAGGACAATCCCCTTCCCACCCCAAACCTTCTTTAGGACAATCCTGTCCCATCCCAAACCTTCTTTAGGACAATCCCATCCCACCCCAAACCTTCTTTAGGGCAATCCCATCCCACCCTAAATCTTCTTTAGGACAATCCCATCCCACCCCAAACCTTCCTTAGGACAATCCCCTTCCCATCCCAAACCTTCTTTAGGACAATCCCCTTCCCATCCCAAACCTTCTTTAGGACAATCCCATCCCACCCCAAACCTTCTTTAGGACAATCCCCTTCCCATCCCAAACCTTCTTTAGGACAATCCCATTCCCACCCCAAACCTTCTTTAGGACAATCCCCTTCCCATCCCACCCCAACCCTTCTTTAGGACAATCCCCTTCCCATCCCACCCCAAACCTTCTTTAGGACAATCCCAATCCCATCCCACCCCAAACCTTCTTTAGGACAATCCCATTTCCCATTCCCACCCCAAACCTTCTTTAGGACAATCCCAATCCCATCCCACCCCAAACCTTCTTTAGGACAATCCCATCCCACCCCAAACCTTCTTTAGGACAATCCCAATCCCATCCCATCCCAAACCTTCTTTAGGACAATCCCAATCCCATCCCATCCCAAACCTTCTTTAGGACAATCCCAATCCCATCCCACCCCAAACCTTCTTTAGGACAATCCCAATCCCATCCCACCCCAAACCTTCTTTAGGACAATCCCAATCCCATCCCATCCCAAACCTTCTTTAGGACAATCCCCTTCCCATCCCACCCCAAACCTTCTTTAGGACAATCCTCATCCCACCCCAAACCTTCTTTAGGACAATCCCTTCCCACCCCACCCCAAACCTTCTTTAGGACAATCTCCTTCCCATCCCACCCCAAACCTTCTTTAGGACAATCCCATCCCACCCCAAACCTTCTTTAGGACAACCCTTCCTATCCCACCCCAAACCTTCTTTAGGACAATCCCATCCCACCCCAAACCTTCTTTAGGACAATCCCATCCCACCCCAAACCTTCTTTAGGACAATCCTCTCCCACCCCACCCCAAACCTTCTTTAGGGCAATCCTTCCCATCCCACCCCAAACCTTCTTTAGGACAATCCCATCCCACCCCAAACCTTTTTAGGACAATCCCTTCCCATCCCAAACCTTCTTTAGGACAATCCTTCCCATCCCACCCCAAACCTTCTTTAGGACAATCCTTCCCATCCCACCCCAAACCTTCTTTAGGACAATCCCAGCCCACCCCAAACCTTCTTTAGGACAATCCCACCCCACCCCAAACCTTCTTTAGAAAACCATCCCACCCCAAACCTTCTTTAGGACAATCCCATCCCACCCCAAACCTTCTTTAGGACAATCCCCTTCCCATCCCAAACCTTCTTTAGGACAATCCCCTTCCCACCCCAAACCTTCTTTAGGACAATCCCCTTCCCATCCCACCCCAAACCTTCTTTAGGACAATCCCATCCCACCCCAAACTCTCCGGGTGTGGGGTGGGACCCTTTTCCCCTCCCTGAATCCCGACAAGGGGGGTTCCCCACCACCCTACCCCCCTTTTGGGGTGCCCCCCGACCCTCTGAGGGGGGTTCTGACCCTCTCCCCGCCCCCAGAGCTGCAGAAATCCAAGGAGAAGTCCCTGCTCTCCGGGAATGTCGCGGACGCGGCCGCCGCCTGCAACCGCCTCGGGGAGCTCTTGGCCGCCCAGGGTGAGCCCCGACCCCAAATCCCGGCACTCAGGAGCCCCCCCAGGCTGTAACTCCCACCCCAATCCCCCCAGGGCGCTACGAGGAGGCTCTGGAGGAGCACAGGGAGGAGCTGAGGCTGCTGGAGGGGGCCGGCGATCCCTTGGGATGCGCCGTGGCCCACCGGAAAATCGGGGAGCGCCTGGCGGAGCTGGAGAGATACGAGGCTGCCCTCAAGGTCTGCGGGGGCTGGTGGGGATTGGGGGCTGGGAGGGATTTGGGGGCTGGGAGGGGTTTGGGGGCTGGGAGGGAGTTTTGGGGGCTGGGAGGAGTTTCGCAGGCTGGGAGGGCGTTTGGAGGGTGTGGGAAGGGGTTTGGGGAGTTTGGGAAGGGGTTTGGAGGAGCTGGGAGGGAGTTTGAGGGCTGGAGGAGTTTGGGGGGCTGAGAGGGGGATTGAGGGGCTGGGAGGAGTTTGGGAGTGAGGATGGGGCTTGGAGGAGCTGGGAGTGGGTTTAGGAGTTGGGAGGAGCTTGGGGGCTGGGAGGGGTTTTGGGGGGTTGGGAAGGGTTTGGGGAGTGTGGGATGGGGTTTGGAGGAGCTGGGAGTGGGTTTAGGAGTTGGGAGGGAGTTTGGGGGCTGGGAGGGGTTTTGGGGGTTGGGAAGGGTTTGGGAGTGTGGGATGGGGTTTGGAGGATCTGGGAGGGGGGTTAGGGGACCTGGAAGGGGGTTTGGGGTCATTTCCTGCTGAATGTGGGGAGTCTGGGAAGGGGTTTGTGGGTCTGGGGGATGACACGGAGCAGTTTTGGGGTTTCTGGCAGTGGGGTTTTTAGGGTTTTGGGGGTCAGGGCTCAGTTTTTGGGGCTCCCCATGGATTTGGGGTGTCCTTGTCCCAGCACCAGGCCCTGGCCCAGGATATGGGGAATGACCTGGAGCAGTTTTGGGGGCTGTGGGAGCAGTTTTGGGGTTTCTGGTAGTGGGGTTTTTAGGGTTTTGGGGGGTCAGGGCTCAGTTTTTGGGGCTCCCCATGGATTTGGGGTGTCCTTGTCCCAGCACCTGGTGCTGACCCAGGATCTGGGGGATGACACAGAGCAGTTTTGGGGTTTCTGGCAGTGGGTTTTTGGGGTTTTTGGGGCTCAGTTTTTGGGGCTCCCCATGGGTTTGGGGTGTTGCTATCCCAGCACCAGCGGCAGCACCTGGCCCTGGCGCAGGAGCTGGGGAATCACACGGAGCAGTTTTGGGGTTTCTGGCTGTGGGTTTTTGGGGTTTTTGGGGGTCAGGGCTCGGTTTCTGGGGCTCCCCATGGATTTGGGGTGTCAGGGCTCAGTTTTTGTGTCTCCCCACGGATTTGGGGTGTTGCTATCCCAGCACCAGCGGCAGCACCTGGCCCTGGCCCAGGATCTGGGGGATCACACGGAGCAGTTTTGGGGTTTCTGGCAGTGGGGTTTTGGGGTGTGTGGGAGCAGTTTTGGGGTTTCTGGCAGTGGGGTTTTGGGGTTTTGGGGTGTCAGGGCTCAGTTTTTGGGGCTCCCCATGGATTTGGGGTGTCCCTATCCCAGCACCAGCAGCAGATCCTGGTCCTGGCTCAGGATTTGGGCGATCACACGGAGCAGTTTTGGGGGCTGTGGGAGCAGTTTTGGGGTTTCTGGCAGTGGGGTTTTGGGGCTGTCCCTGGATTTTGGGGCTCCCCATGGATTTGGGGTGTCCCTGTGGCAGCACCAGCGGCAGCACCTGGCCCTGGCCCAGGATCTGGGGGATCACACGGAGCAGCAGCGCGCCTGGGCCACCATCGGCCGCACCTTCATGTTCATGGCTGAGAGTGGGGGGACCCAGCCCGGGGGGACCCAGCCGGGGGACCCAGGAAGGGGGGGCCGCGCTCAGGGAGGCCGAGGGGGCCTTCAGGACCAGCCTGGCCATCGTGGAGGAGAAGCTGGAAGGTGGGCATGATTCCCGGGAATAACGGGAATGGCGGGAAAGGGCGGGGAGAGGGACAAGGAGGGGTGGGAGGGGGACATGGGGGAGTGGGAGAGGGTTTGGGGTCTGAGAATGGGTTTTGGAAGGGGGGTGGGAGGATTTGGGAAAGGTGGGAGGGATTGGGGGGCATGGGAGGGGGCTTGGGATCTGGGAATGGGTGTAGGAGGGGGTTAGGAGGGGTTTGGGGGAGCAGGGTGGGGGTTTGGGATCTGGGAATGGGTGTGGGAGGGGGTTTTGGGGTCTGTCAATGTATTTTGGGGGTCTCAGTGGATTTTGGGTCTCATGGGGGGTTTTGGGGTCTCACAGCAGGGTTTGGGGTCTCACAGTGAGTTTGGGGTGTCCCACTGGGTTTTGGGGTTTCTCAACCCACGGTGGGACCCCAAGTGTGGATTTAGGGGGTGTTTTTACCGATTTCGGGGGGTGTTTTTACCGATTTCGGGTGTTTTTTTACCGATTTCGGGGGTGTTTTTACCAATTCTGGGTGTGTTTTTACCAATTTTGGGGGTGTTTTTATGGATTTTGGAGGTGTTTTTACCAATTTCGGAGGTGTTTTTACTGATTCCGAGGGTGTTTTTACCAATTCTGGGTGTGTTTTTACCAATTTCAAGGGTGTTTTATGGATTTAGGGGGCGTTTTTACCGATTTCAGGGGTGTCTTTACCGATTTTGGGGGTGTTTTTATGGATTTTGGGAGTGTTTTTACCAATTCTGGGGGTGTTTTTACCAATTTCAAGGGTGTTTTATGGATTTAGGGGGTGTTTTTACCGATTTCAGGGGCGTTTTTACCGATTTCAGGGGTGTTTTTACCGATTTCAGGGGTGTCTTTACCAATTTCAGGGGTGTCTTTACCGATTTCGGGGGTGTTTTTATGGATTTTGGGAGTGTTTTTACCAATTCTGGGGGTGTTTTTACCGATTTCGGGGGTGTTTTTACCAATTCCAGGGGTGTTTTTACTAATTCCGGGGGTGTTTTTACCGATTCCGGGGATGTTTTATGGATTCCGGGGGTGTTTTTACCAATTCTGGGTGTGTTTTTATGGATTCTGGGGGGTGTTTTACGGATTCCGGGGGTGTTTTATGGATTTCAGGGGTGTTTTTACCAATTCTGGGTGTTTTTTTACCGATTTCGGGTGTGTTTTTACCGATTTTGGGGGTGTCTTTACCAATTCTGGGTGTGTTTTTACCAATTCTGGGTGTGTTTTTACCAATTTCAGGGGTGTTTTTACCGATTCCGGGGGTGTTTTTACCAATTCTGGGTGTGTTTTTACCAATTCTGGGTGTTTTACCTGATTCCGGGTGTTGTTACCGATTCGGGTGTTTTACCAATTCCAGGGGTGTTTTTACCAATTCCGGGGGTGTTTTTACCAATTCCGGGGATGTTTTATGGATTCCGGGGGTGTTTTTACCAATTCCAGGGGTGTTTTTACCAATTCTGGGGTTGTTTTTACCGATTCCGGGGATGTTTTATGGATTCCGGGGGTGTTTTTACCGATTCCGGGGATGTTTTTACGGATTCTGGGGGGTGTTTTACGGATTCCGGGGGTGTTTTATGGATTTCAGGGGTGTTTTTACCAATTCTGGGTGTTTTTTTACCGATTCCGGGGGTGTTTTTACCGATTCCGGGGGTGTTTTTACCAATTCCAGGGGTGTTTTTACCAATTTCGGGGGTGTTTTTACCAATTTCAGGGGTGTCTTTACCAATTTCGGGGGTATTTTTATGGATTTCGGGGGTGTTTTTACCAATTCCAGGGGTGTTTTTACCAATTCCGGGGATGTTTTATGGATTCCGGGGGTGTTTTTACCAATTCCGGGGGTGTTTTTACCGATTTTGGGGGTGTTTTTATCAATTCTGGGTGTGTTTTTACTAATTTCAGGGGTGTTTTTACCAATTCCAGGGGTGTTTTTACCAATTCCGGGGGTGTCTTTACCAATTCCGGGGGTGTCTTTACCAATTCCGGGGGTGTCTTTACCAATTCCGGGGGTGTTTTTACCGATTCTGGGGGTGTTTTTACCGATTCCGGGGCTCTTTTATGCATTCCGGGGGTGTCTTTACCAATTCCGGGGGTGTTTTTACTGGTTTTGGGGGTGTTTTTACCAATTCTGGGGGTGTTTTTACCAATTTCAGGGGTGTTTTTACCAATTTAGGGGGTGTTTTATGGATTCCGGGGGTGTTTTTACCAATTCTGGGTGTGTTTTTACCGATTTTGGGGGTGTTTTTACCAATTCTGGGGGTGTTTTTACCAATTTCGGGGGTGTTTTTACCAATTCTGGGGGTGTTTTTACCAATTTCAGGGGTGTTTTTACTGATTCCAGGGATGTTTTTATGGATTTCAGGGGTGTCTTTACCAATTTTGGGGGTGTTTTTACCGATTTAGGGGGTGTTTTTACCGATTCCGGGTGTTTTTTTACCGATTTCGGGGGTGTTTTTACCAATTCTGGGGGTGTTTTTACCAATTCCGGGGATGTTTTATGGATTTTGGGGGTGTTTTTACCGATTCCAGGGGTGTTTTTACCGATTCCGGGGGTGTTTTTACCAATTCTGGGGGTGTTTTTACCGATTCCAGGAGTATTTTTACCAATTCTGGGTATGTTTTTACGGATTCCGGGGTTGTTTTCCCCGTTTTTCTCCCTGTTTTCGGTGTCCAGGCTCGGTGTCCCGGCGGGAGCTGGCGGAGATGCGGACTCGGCTCTACCTCAACCTGGGCCTGGTGCACGACGCGCTGCGGGACCCCCGGCAGTGCCACCACTTCATCCGCAAGAGCATCTTCCTGGCCGAGTGAGGGGCTGGGGGGCGCTCTGGGGGGGCTCCAACTGGATTTCGGGGGGTCTCTCCCTCCCTTTTCCCCCTTTTTCCCTCTTTTTCAGGCAGATTTTGGGGGTCCCACTCCAGATTTGGGGGTCACTCACTCCCTTTTCCCCCTTTTCCCCCCTTTTTCCCTCTTTTCCCCCTTTTCCAGGCAGATTTGGGGGTCCCACACAAGATTTTGGGGCTCCTTCACTCCCCTTTCCCCCTTTTTCAGGGAGATTTGAGGGTCCCACAGCACATTTTGGGGGTCCCACACCAGATTTTGGGGGTCCCACACCAGATTTTGGGGGTCCCACTCCAGATTTGGGGGTCCCTCACTCCCTTTTCCCCCTTTTCCAGGCAGATTTTGAGGGGTCCCACACCATATTTTGGGGGTCCCCTCACCCCTGTTCCTCGTGTTCCAGGCAGTTTTTGGGGGTCCCTCACCAGATTTTGGGGGTTCCCAGCTCAGATTTTGGGGTTCCCAGCTCAGTTTTTGGGGTCCCTCACCCATTTTGGGGTGTTTTTGCAGGCAGGCCCAGCTGCAGGAGGATCTTTCCCAGCAATTTTTGGGGTTCCCAGCTCAGATTTTGGGGTCCCTCACCTTTTTTGGGGTGTTTTTTCAGGCAGGCCCAGCTGCAGGAGGATCTTTCCCAGCATTTCTGGGGTTCCCAGCTCAGTTTTTGGGGTTCCCAGCTCAGTTTTTGGGGTTCCCAGCTCAGTTTTTGGGGTCCCCTCACCCTTTTTGGGGTCATTTTCCAAGCATTCCCATCTGCAGGAGTTCCATTCCCAGCAGTTTTTGGGGTTCCCAGCTCAGATTTTGGGGTTCCCAGCTCAGTTTTTGGGGTTCCCAGCTCAGTTTTTTGGGTTCCCAGCTCAGATTTTGGGGTTCCCAGCTCAGTTTTTGGGCTCCCTCACCCATTTTGGGGTGTTTTTGCAGGCAGGCCCAGCTGCAGGAGGATCTTTCCCATCAGTTTTGGGGTTCCCAGCTCAGTTTTTGGGGCTCCCTCACCCCTTTTCCCACTTTTTTCATTCCCATCTCCAAGAGGATCTTTCCCAGCAGTTTTTGGGGTTCCCAGCTCAGATTTTGGGGTTCCCTCACCCCTTTTCCCCCCCATTCCAGGCATTCCCACCTGCAGGAAAACCTTTCCCAGCATTTTTGGGTTCCCACCCCCATTTTGGGGTTCCCTCACCCCTTTTCCCACCTTTTTCTGACCATTCCCATTTCCAGGAGGATCTTTCCCATCAGTTTTTGGGGTTCCCAGCTCAATTTTTGGGGTTCCCAGCTCAGTTTTTGGGGTTCCCAGCTCAGTTTTTGGGGTCCCTCACCCTTTTTGGGGTGTTTTTGCAGGCAGGCCCAGCTGCAGGAGGATCTTTCCCAGCATTTCTGGGGTTCCCAGCTTAGATTTTGGGGTTCCCCCACCCCTTTTCCTGCCATTTTCCAGGCATTCCCATCTGCAGGAAAACCTTTCCCAGCATTCCTGGGGTTCCCAGCTCAGTTTTTGGGGTTCCCAGCTCAGATTTTGGGGGGTCCCTGACCCTTTTTTGTGGTCGTTTTGCAGGCATTCCCACCTGCAGGAAAACCTTTCCCAGCAGTTTTTGGGGTTCCCAGCTCAGTTTTTGGGGGTCCCTCACCCCTTTTCCCACTTTTTTCATTCCCAGCTGCAGGAGGACCTTTCCCAGCAGTTTTTGGGGTCCCATCCTCATTTTTGGGGTTCTCTCACCCCTTTTCCCCCCCATTCCGGGCATTCCCAGCTCCAGGAGGACCTTTCCCAGCATTTTTGGGGTTCCCAGCTCAGTTTTGGGGTTCCCTCACCCTTTTTGGGGTGGTTTTGCAGGCAGGCCCAGCTGCAGGAGGATCTTTCCCAGCAGTTTTTGGAGTCCCACCCCCATTTTTGGGGCTCCCTCACCCCTTTTCCCACCTTTTTCTGGCCATTCCCACCTGCAGGAAAAGCTTTCCCAGCAGTTTCTGGGGTTCCCAGCTCAGATTTTGGGGTCCCTCACCCTTTTTGGGGTGTTTTTGCAGGCAGGCCCAGCTGCAGGAGGACCTTTCCCAGCAGATTCTGGGGGTTTCCAGCTCAGTTTTTGGGGCTCCCTCACCCCTTTTCCCACTTTTTTCATTCCCATCTGCAGGAAAACCTTTCCCAGCAGTTTTTGGGGTTCCCAGCTTAGATTTTGGGGTTCCCCCACCCCTTTTCCTGCCATTTTCCAGGCATTCCCACCTGCAGGAAAACCTTTCCCAGCAGATTCTGGGGAGTTTCACCCCAGATTTTGGGCTACCCACCTCACTTTTTGGGGCTCCCTCACCCCTTTTCCCCCCCATTCCAGGTATTCCCAACTTCAGCAGGATCTTTCCCAGCAGTTTTTGGGGTCCCACCCTCATTTCTGGGGTTCCCTCACCCCTTTTCCCCCCATTTTCCAGGCATTCCCACCTGCAGGAAAACCTTTCCCAACATTTCTGGGGTTCCCAGCTCAGTTTTTGGGGTTCCCAGCTCAGATTTTGGGGCTCCCTCACCCCTTTTCCTGCCTTTTTCTGGCCATTCCCGGCTCCAGGAAAATCTTTCCCAGCAGATTTTGGGGGGTTCCTCCCCAAATTTTGGGGCTCCCTCACTGCTTTTCCCCCCCATTCCAGCCATTCCCAGCTGCAGGAGGATCTTTCCCAGCAGTTTTTGGGGTCCCACCCCCATTTTTGGGGTTCCCTCACCCCTTTTCCCCCTCATTCCAGGCATTCCCACCTGCAGGAAAACCTTTCCCAGCAGATTTTGGGGTCCCACCCCAGATTTTGGGGCTCCCTCACCCCTTTTCCCACCTTTTTCTGACCATTCCCATTTCCAGGAGGACCTTTCCCAGCAATTTTTGGGGTTCCCAGCTCAGATTTTGGGGTCCCTCACCCTTTTTGGGGTCGTTTTCCAGGCATTCCCATCTGCAGGAGGATCTTTCCCAGCAGTTTTTGGGGTCCCACCCTCAATTTTGGGTCTCCCTCACCCCTTTTCCCACCTTTTTCTGACCATTCCCACCTGCAGGAAAACCTTTCCCAGCATTTCTGGGGTTCCCAGCTCAGTTTTTGGGGTTCCCAGCTCAGTTTTTGGGGCTCCCTCACCCTTTTTGGGGTGTTTTTGCAGGCAGGCCCAGCTGCAGGAGGATCTTTCCAGCAGTTTTTGGGGTTCCCAGCTCAGTTTTTGGGACTCCCTCACCCCTTTTTCCCACTTTTTTCATTCCCAGCTCCAAGAGGACCTTTCCCATCAGTTTTTGGGGTTCCCACCCTCACTTTTGGGGCTCCCTAACCCTTTTCCCACCTTTTTCTGGCCATTCCCATCTCCAGGAGGACCTTTCCCAGCAGTTTTTGGGGTCCCACCCCCATTTTGGGGTTCCCTCACCCCTTTTCCTGCTATTTTCCAGGCATTCCCAGCTCCAGGAGTTCCATTCCCAGCATTTCTGGGGTTCCCAGCTCAGTTTTTGGGGCTCCCTCACCCCTTTTCCTGCCATTTTCCAGCCATTCCCACCTGCAGGAAAACCTTTCCCAACATTTCTGGGGTTCCCACCTCACTTTTTGGGGTTCCCTCACCCCTTTTCCCACTTTTTTCATTCCCAACTCCAGGAAAACCTTTCCCAGCAGATTCTGGGGGGTTCCCAGCTCAGTTTTTGGGGTCCCTCACCCTTTTTTGGGGTGTTTTTGCAGGCAGGCCCAGCTGCAGGAAAACCTTTCCCAGCATTTCTGGGGTTCCCAGCTCAGTTTTTGGGGTTCCCAGCTCAGATTTTGGGGTTCTCAGCTCAGATTTTGGGGTCTCTCACCCTTTTTTTGGGGTGTTTTTCAGGCAGGCCCAGCTGCAGGAGGATCTTTCCCAGCAGTTTTTGGGGTTCCCACCCTCATTTTTGGGGTTCCCAGCTCAGTTTTTGGGGTTCCCAGCTCAGTTTTTGGGCTCCCTCACCCATTTTGGGGTGTTTTTGCAGGCAGGCCCAGCTGCAGGAGGATCTTTCCCAGCAGTTTTTGGGTTTCCCAGCTCAGATTTTGGGGCTCCCTCACCCATTTTGGGGTGGTTTTGCAGACATTCCCACCTGCAGGAAAACCTTTCCCAGCAGTTTTTGGGGTTCCCAGCTCAATTTTTGGGGTTCCCAGCTCAGTTTTTGGGGTTCCCACCCTCATTTTTGGAGTCCCTCACCCATTTTGGGGTGTTTTTGCAGGCAGGCCCAGCTGCAGGAGGATCTTTCCCAGCATTTCTGGGGTTCCCAGCTCAGTTTTTGGGGTTCCCAGCTCAGATTTTGGGGTCCCTCACCCATTTTGGGGTGGTTTTGCAGGCAGGCCCAGCTGCAGGAGGATCTTTCCCATCAGTTTTTGGGGTTCCCAGCAGTTTTTGGGGTCCCTCACCCATTTTGGGGTTCCCAGCTCAGTTTTTGGGGTCCCTCACCCATTTTGGGGTTCCCAGCTCAGTTTTTGGGGTCCCTCACCCATTTTGGGGTTCCCAGCTCAGTTTTTGGGGTCCCTCACCCATTTTGGGGTTCCCAGCTCAGTTTTTGGGGTCCCTCACCCTTTTTGGGGTGTTTTTGCAGGCAGGCCCAGCTGCAGGAGGACCTTTCCCAGCAGTTTTTGGGGTCCCCAGCTCAGTTTTTGGGGTCCCTCACCCTTTTTGGGGTGTTTTTGCAGGCAGGCCCAGCTGCAGGAGGATCTTTCCCAGCAGTTCTTGGGGTTCCCAGCTCAGTTTTTGGGTTTCCCAGCTCAGATTTTGGGGTCTCTCACCCTTTTTGGGGTGTTTTTGCAGACATTCCCACCTGCAGGAGTTCCATTCCCAGCATTTCTGGGGTTCCCAACTCAGATTTGGGGGCTCCCTGACCCTTTTTGGGGTGGTTTTGCAGACATTCCCACCTGCAGGAAAACCTTTCCCAGCAGTTTTTGGGGTTCCCAGCTCAGTTTTTGGGGTTCCCAGCTCAGATTTTGGGGTCCCTCACCCTTTTTTGGGGTGGTTTTGCAGGCAGGCCCAGCTGCAGGAGAACCTTTCCCAGCATTTCTGGGGTTCCCAGCTCAGTTTTTGGGGTCCCTCACCCCTTTTTCCCACTTTTTTCATTCCCATCTCCAAGAGGACCTTTCCCACCAGTTTTTGGGGTTCCCAGCTCAGATTTTGGGGCTCCCTCACCCTTTTTGGGGTGGTTTTGCAGGCATTCCCAGCTCCAGGAAAACCTTTCCCAGCAGTTTTTGGGGTTCCCAGCTCAGTTTTTGGGGGTCCCTCACCCCTTTTCCCCTCTTTTTCTGACCATTCCCATCTCCAGGAGGACCTTTCCCAACAGTTTTTGGGGTCCCACCCTCATTTTTGGGATTCCTTCATCCCTTTTCCCCCCCATTCCAGGCATTCCCACCTGCAGGAAAACCTTTCCCAGCATTTCTGGGGTTCCCAGCTCAGATTTTGGGGTTCCCAGCTCAGTTTTTGGGGTCCCTCACCCATTTTGGGGTGTTTTTGCAGGCAGGCCCAGCTGCAGGAGGATCTTTCCCAGCAGTTTTTGGGGTTCCCAGCTCAGATTTTGGGGGTTCCCAGCTCAGTTTTTGGGGTTCCCAGCTCAGTTTTTGGGCTCCCTCACCCTTTTTGAGGTGTTTTTGCAGGCAGGCCCAGCTGCAGGAGGACCTTTCCCAGCATTTCTGGGGTTCCCAGCTCAGTTTTTGGGGTTCCCACCCTCATTTTTGGAGTCCCTCACCCATTTTGGGGTGTTTTTCAGGCAGGCCCAGCTGCAGGAGGATCTTTCCCAGCAGTTTTTGGGGTTCCCAGCTCAGTTTTTGGGGTTCCCAGCTCAGTTTTTGGGGTTCCCAGCTCAGATTTTGGGTTTCCCTCACCCTTTTTTGGGTTGTTTTTGCAGGCAGGCCCAGCTGCAGGAGGATCTTTCCCAGCATTTCTGGGGTTCCCAGCTCAGATTTTGGGGTTCCCAGCTCAGATTTTGGGGTTCCCTCACCCCTTTTCCTGCCATTTTCCAGACATTCCCACCTGCAGGAAAACCTTTCCCATCAATTTTTGGGGTTCCCAGCTCAGATTTTGGGCTCCCTCACCCATTTTGGGGTGTTTTTGCAGGCAGGCCCAGCTGCAGGAGGATCTTTCCCAGCATTTCTGGGGTTCCCAGCTCAGTTTTTGGGGTTCCCAGCTCAGTTTTTGGGTTTCCCAGCTCAGATTTTGGGGTTCCCAGCTCAGATTTTGGGGTTCCCAGCTCAGTTTTTGGGGTTCCCAGCTCAGATTTTGGGGTTCCCAGCTCAGTTTTTGGGCTCCCTCACCCATTTTGGGGTGTTTTTTCAGGCAGGCCCAGCTGCAGGAGGATCTTTCCCAGCAGTTTTTGGGGTTCCCAGCTCAGATTTTGGGGCTCCCTCACCCCTTTTCCCACTTTTTTCATTCCCAGCTGCAGGAGGACCTTTCCCAGCAGTTTTTGGGGTTCCCAGCTCAGTTTTTGGGGGTCCCTCATCCCTTTTCCCCCCCATTCCAGGCATTCCCACCTGCAGGAAAACCTTTCCCAGCAGTTTTTGGGGTTCCCAGCTCAGTTTTTGGGCTCCCTCACCCATTTTGGGGTGTTTTTGCAGGCAGGCCCAGCTGCAGGAGTTCCATTCCCAGCAGTTCTTGGGGTTCCCAGCTCAGATTTTGGGGTTCCCAGCTCAGTTTTTGGGCTCCCTCACCCTTTTTGGGGTTGTTTTTCAGGCAGGCCCAGCTGCAGGAGGATCTTTTCCGCGGTCACTTCAACCTGGGCCACATCTCCCTGCGTGCCGGGGATCATTCCGGGGCTCTCCGGAGCCTCTCCCGGGCTCGGGAATGCGCCCGGATCCTGCGGGACAGGGGGCTGGAGAGCGAGTGCTGCAGCAGCACCGCCCAGGTGGGGCTTTTTGGGGGGATTTTGGGTCATTTTGGGGCATTTTGGGGGCATTTTGGGGACATTTTGAGGGTTTTGGGGGATTTCCGGATTTTGGGATTTTTGGGGATTTAGGGATTTTGGGGGAATTTAGCATTTTTGAGGACATTTTGAGGGATTTGGGGGATTTTGGGGCGTTGGGGGATTTTGGGGATTTCGAGGGATTTTAAAGTGACCTGTGACCTTGTGACCTGTGACCCTACACACTAGACTGTGACCTTAAAAAGACTCCCAAATACCCAGACTGTGACCTTATGTACACCTGTGACTCCTAAAGACTCCAAAGACCCAGATCTAAATAATTCTAAATAATCCAGACCTGTGATCTAAAGATCTTGATACATCTTAGACTTAAAGATCTCAGACCCTAAAAGACTAAAGATCTGTGACTAAAGCACTTAGACTCAGAACTAAAAAGCACTTCAAAGCACTTGTACACTCCTGTGACCTGATGACTTGTACACTGGGGACCTAGATGCCAACCTGTACTAATTTAGACTACCACCCTGGGTGACTCCAGACTCTGTGACCTTGAGGCCACCTTGTGACCCAAACACCCTGTGACCTGTGATCCAAAAATACCTCGTGACTCCAAATGATTCAAAGACTCCACCTTGACTCCCAAAGACCTTGACTAAAAGACCCTCAAAGCACCCTAGAACCCTGTACACCCAGACCCAAAATACTCCTAAAACACTCCTGGGATGACTCCTAAAACATCTTAGACTCTAAAGCACTAAATACCCAAAGACTCTAAAAGCACCAGACTCCAGAACTCCTAAAGACCAAAATTTCGTGACCTAGGACCCTCTGATACACCCTAGACTCAGATCTGTGACTTTGAATGACCTCATGACTCCTGGACGACGACTGTGACTAAAAAGACCAGACCTGCACTGTGACCCTAAATGATCTTGTGACCTCAGCCACCCTGTGACTCCAGATCCCTAAATACCTTAGGACTTTAAATACTCCAAAGACCTTGTGACCTAAAGACCTTAAATTCTAGACTCCTAAAAGCACTTGTACACTCCAGACTCAGACCTGGGATGATCTCTAAAGACCTAAATACTTTAGGATTTTGGGGCATTTTGGGGGGGATTTTAGGGATTTGGGGGCATTTTAGGGGATTTTGGGGGCATTTTGGGGGCATTTTGGGGATTTTTAGGGGGGTTTAGGGGCTCCCAAGACGTCCCCAGGGTCTCTGGGATTTCAGGGCGTTGGAATTTCTGGGGGATTCCTGCTGGAATTCAGGGCTGTGGTGGGGTTTTTTTTGGGGGAGGGTTTGGGGTCCTTCCCCTCGGAGGTTCTTAGTGGTGCTGGGTTTGGGGATTTTGGGGTTTGGGGGTTCCCTGCTGGAATTTGGGGGTTCCCACTGGAATTTGGGGGTTCCCACTGGAATTATGGAGTCCCATGGGGAGGTTTTGGGGTCCCCCTGTTGTTTTTGGGGTCTCTCAGGGGATTTTGGGGCTCCTGGTGGTGCTGGGTCTGGGGATTTTGGGGCATTTTGGGGGGGATTTTGGGGATTTTGGGGCATTTTGGGGGGGATTTTGGGGGGATTTATAGGGATTCTGGGGGGATTAAGGGGCATTTTGGGGGGATTTTGGGAGATTTTGGGGCGGATTTGGGGGGCATTTTGGGGCATTTTTGGGGATTTGGGGGCATTTTGGGGGATTTTGGGAGCATTTGGGGGATTTTGAGGGCATTTTAGGGGATTTGCAGGGGCATTTTGGGGGGATTTTGGGGCATTTGGGGATTTGGGGGCATTTAGGGGATTTTAGGGCATTTTGGGGATTTGGGGATTTTGGGGATTTAGGATTTTGGGGCATTTGGAGATTTGGGGGCATTTTGGGGGATTTAGGGGATTTTGGGGCATTTTGGGGAATTGGGGGATTTTGGGGCATTTTGGGCATTTGGGGATTTTGGGAGATTTTGGGGGATTTAGAGGGGCATTTTGGGGCATTTTGGGGGGATTTTGGAGGATTTTGGAGCATTTTTGGGGCATTTTGGGGGATTTTGGGGATTTTGGGGGCATTTTGGGGGATTTCAGGGGATTTGGGGGCATTTTAGGGGATTTCGGGAATTTTGGGGGATTTGGGGGATTTTGGGGGAGGGTTTGGGGTCCTTTCCCCTCAGAGGGATTCTTGGTGGTGCTGGGTCTGGGGGATTTTGGGGTTTGGGGGTTCCCCGCTGGAATTTGGGGGGTTCCCACTGGAATTGTGGGGTCTCCTGGGTAAGTTTGGGGTCCCCCTGTTGTTTTTGGGGTCCTCCCAAGGGGGATTTTGGGGGTCCCCTGATGGGGGTCCTGGTGGTGCTGGGTCTGGGGGATTTTGGGGTGCTGAGGTTTGGGGGTTCCCTGCTGGAATTTGGGGGTTCCCCGCTGGAATTTGGGGGTTCCCACTGGAATTTGGGGTTCCCTGCTGGAATTTGGGGGTTCCCACTGGAATTTGAAGCTCCCTGTGAGTTTTTTGGGATCCCCCCTGTGGGGATTTTGGGGGTCCCCCAGGAGGTCCCGATGGTGCTGAGGTTTGGGGGTTCTCTGCTGGAATTTGGGGGTTCCCACTGGAATTATGGGGTCCCCTGGGGAGGTTTTGGCGTCCCCTTGTTGTTTTTGGGGTCCCCCCCAGGGGGATTTTGGGGGGTCCTGGTGGTGCTGGGTCTGGGGATTTTGGGGTGCTGAGGTTTGGGGGTTCC